TGAAAAGGATGTTCCAGTACCTTCTACCTCAAATTTAATTTTACCAGATCTAATTGTAATTCGAAGAAGGGTGTTTTGCATATACTGCATAGGATTTGTGGTAAATTTACCTTGAGTTTTACGTCTGTTATTTCTAGATCTGTGAGACAAATCTTATCTATAATGATGTATTATATCAAAGTATTGAGACATATTCATTTTTTTTTCTAGCAACTAGTGATATCGGTCTACTGATTTTAAAATTGATATTCTATATTATTATATGTATATAAATATATATATTCATTAATCATGACAAAAAAATATATAACACTCATTAAAAAAAGGTAATGGTAATAGTGATTGTGACGTTTCTTAGATATTTTTTTTAAAAGTTTCATAATAATAAGGCTTATTGGCTAGAACATGTTTAGTCACACGAACCCGATATAGCAAAATCCCTGGTAGTTAATTGCATGATTTTGATTTTTTCAATTTTAAAAATTTTATCAATTTGTGTCAACAATATATATAACAAAAATGTCAGCTCTTTATAATGATACAGAATCAGATTCGTATGTTAGTAAAATTAGTAGAAGATCCTTGACAAGTGAAAAAAGCTCTACTACCATAACCCAAAGGCAAGTCTATGAATAGATTTATATGCAATTGGTATGTATATCTCTTCATAATTTTCTAAATCTCCAGAAATATTATTTATAGTGATGATGCTGTTTCGAACTCTTGTCACTGGGTGCCTGATGATTATTCCAAATCCGTGGATGAACTGAAAAAATTCCAAAAACTTTGGTGGGATCAAGGGCTCCTCCATCCAAAGGCTAAATGGACTCATGTTGAGTAAGTGATTCCCGTCTTTTTCCTATTAAAGAAAACTAATTTTTTCAATTATATATCAAGGCCCCCATATGTGCTCATTGAAGGTGTGACTTTAGAAGAATACGAATGCCGTGGTGACTTTTTTAATATTCATGGGCTTTGGGAGTGGTCCAATGGCACAGTCATGATCATTGAATTTCCATCAACATGACATGAAATTTGTGTTGGTTCAATTACTAGAGTATTGTTATACCAATGCAACGCCATCACTTTTACTGATGCCGAAGTTTATGTCCTTGGATCAGCTCGTAAGCATGGATTTCATTAACCTTCGATTACTAATACATAATGTAAACTAACCTTGTTGAGTATTTAAAGAAACTTGTGCCGACGGTTCTGGAAAAGAAGCTGATGCTTCATTTAGACCGGAAAAAATAACAACAATTCCACCTAATGGGAGCAATGGAAATGCATGTATCATTCATTCCTTACATTTGTTTTGATAAACTGTAAATTTCACATTTGCATTTTGTTTCAGGACAAGCCATGGCCTAACCTTGTCATTGAAGTTGCATATTTCAAGAAAGTAAAACATGTTATGGATAAAGTACAGGCTTATTGGCTATACAGAGATCGTGTTCATGATGTAATTGTGGTTAAAATTGATCCAGTTCCTGAAGGCCAAATTCCCTCATGCATGAGAGTAAGTTATATATCATTTACAATACGGTAGGATCTTGTTATTAGGATATCATTCTAATGATTGGTTCTTGACAGGCATGGCATTTTTGCATCTCAAGTGGTAGGTTACCAAATGGAACCATCCTGGCTAAATCTATGGTAATGTTACATGCATCAATTCTCCTTCCTGTCAATATATATTAAAATCTCTAATTGATTAACTATTAGTTCGAGTTCAGCACGCAAGACAAGTTTGGTAATGCATTGAATATACAGCAAGGTACATGTATTATCAACATTCAGTTAGACTGCTTGTACTGTGATTTACTCCCCAATATCCAAATACCTAGAAACATTCTTTCTGATCCTATTGAATTGGATTTTTTCTTTGTTCAAAAAGCGATTCTCAAAATAGTTTAATGCTTTATGTGGAATGCAATTTTAGTTCAGTACTTTTATACATTAATATTGCTTTAAAAAAGAAGTTTCATTCTTCATAATACATATTATTATCTACTGTTGGAACACATTTGGCTGTAACCTTAATTTACAAAATAATAGTATGATTTTATTTATGTCATGCATGTGTATAATTTAGTCGTAGGAAATCAAATATAAATAAAAAAAAATCCCATCACTCACTATTATATGATGCTGATAAAAAAAAAATAATTGCGACAAT